GGGACCTATTTATCCTACACTATTACAGATAGCATATATTAGCGTAAAGGTTCCGAGTCTCGCTATAGATTTTCCAAAAGATTCGTTGGTTTTTCAAGCAAAATCTGGTTTTCTCAGTCCAAGAACATTTTTAATGAAAACTGAGGTAAATAGTTGGAATCAGGACATGCACCCAAAAAATCTTCAACATTGTGTTTCTTCGTAATTTTTGTACAGAAAATCGAATGAAATCATAAAAAAAATATTTTTCATCATTTGACGGCGACAGTAATGATATTGGTTAGACTAATTGAGGAATCTGTAAACGAGAAGGTGAACATGAGAAAGCCTTTGTTGGACAAGGTCCTTCGAGAATTGCTGGACATTAGTTCCAAAAAGAACATAATAACAATTGGAAAAAAGTATTGGCAACTGAATCTAATGCAACAAAATGAGTACTAAAAAAGATTTTATTAATGGACTTGTTTCGTGTTAAAAATGGAAAAGACGTAAACGCTCAAAAAAGCTTTCAGTTAAACATTTTTTGACTATGATTAATCATTCTTCTTCAAATAGAAAACAAACATAAATCGTTTAAGTGTGTGAGACACTTAAAAAATAAAAAACAAATAAAAAATTAATACTTAAAAAATGATGAGAAAATTACGTTTTTTACCGTTTTCCTGCTTTGTTTTAATCTAGTCAACGTCTTTCCGATTGTATTTTAATATTTTTTAAAAGTATCACGTTAATTCACGCTCATACCGCGACAGGCTTTAGATTGCGTTAAAACACTATAAAAAATGAGTGCGCCTTATCGCCGTAGTCATCTGTATCGTGATAAATAGTGGGATATCGCGATACATCCTGATAAAAAGGTATTAGGAGTTATCTAACTACTTCTTCTATTCAGATATTTCTACAACTTAATGCGATCCGAAACAATATCGCGATGTTGATCAATAAATATTTATCGCAGACGTCGTTTTGCATCGTGATAAATCGTAGAGATAACGCGATAATAACTTATATCGCGATCAATCGAAACTGTCTGATAGCTCGCGACGTAGAATTTATCCCGATAAACAATGATAATATCGCAATATGCACCATTATCAACGCCTTTATGGAGGTGTATCAGCGACTGCTCAGTTTAAAAATCCTCAAGGTTTTATCCTCTCGTTGAATGTGTCTTAAACGGTTTCATCAAAACCAGTTCAGCTGTTCTTAATTTAGTTCTTTTACACTGAAGAACAATGATTTCATTACATTTTTCTTCCAGCCAAAGTGAAAAAGCTGAAGGAGACCGTCTTTTGTTAACTTTTACAAACTTCCACTTTCCTTCGTGCATGACGTAATTTATGTACAGCTCAAAATTGTCCTGTGTTTTGTTTACTATTTCGAACATTTGTAAGTAATGAAAGTATATTACTCAGTACGTCAGTGATATGCACATCATTCAGATATTTCCAATTTTTGGCTACATCGTCCAGACATTGTTTCATTGGTTCAATAAATGTTTTATTTAAAATTAAATTTTCAAATATTTCATAATTTTCATTGTTAACATTTTGGCTTATACGTTTGAATAAATAACACATTTTGTTTAAATTTTGTTTTTCTATATCGCCAAATTCCGTATCCATGTTGTTCAATTTACTTAATCGTTCTGTAATTGTATTTCGAATTAATATATAAAATTTATGTTTTAATAAAGATGGATTAGATAATATCAAATCTGTATTATTGTTGTTGTTTTTGGTTAATTCATCAGATATTGAGGCTGCTATTTGTAGAGCATATGGTGTTGAAATAACATCATTGACTATTGAAAGTGATTCCGTAAATTGTTGAACAATATCGTTAAAAATTCCTTTTATTTGACGGACATTAACTTTGTTTCCTGCAATCACAGTTGCTGTATGATTTACGATAGAATCCATGTTAAGAAAAAAGTGGTTGAAAACTCACAAACTGATATTTTAAACACAATGAAATAATATTTCAACCTTGACAGACATTTACATTCATTTTTAAGTAAATACTATTAAAAATGAGAAATCTGGCAGAGAAATACTTTTTTCTTTTTTCACTAACCAAACACATCGAGACAACCAAGACAACATTTTTAGCCGTGGGCACAATAAATACATACCGTTTTGACTGTCTATCGTTCGAGGGAAAAAATATTTTTCAAAATATTTTTTTCCCTTGAAAATGTATTCAACTACTATCGTCGCAAGAAAATAGTGACCCCCGATATTCTTTTAATATCTCAGCAAGGAAATGAGCAAGAGACCTATAGTTTTGAGATTATAAAACTAGATACTTTGGGACAATGGTCTATGGAACAATAGCGGAAAAAGCAACATCTTCAGGTGGTAAGCTTTGCGGGGACATTTGTAAAATAACGCCGTTTTTCGAGAAAGCATCGACTTTTAATGATTCAAAAGTGAAAAAGGTAGTTCGAGGTGAGATCTTTCATTCTACGTAACTTTCAGGTCGCTATCTCTCAAGGTACAATCTCTAGGAAATATCTTCGGTGACCTACCTATGTCAGTCCGGACCGTTCTGAAGAGATTAAAAATAATAGCACTCTTTAAGATTAATGGCAGGACTTTTACAGCAAAACTTTGTCTTTTATTATACATTGCAGCTAAATTCATTTAATAAACGAATTCAATGAATGACGAATGAATTTATGAATGAATGACACTACTTGACTCAAAGATGTAAAATAATGGTCGTTTAGTCAAAATAAGAGATTTCATCACCAACAATGAGATTTCATCAAAGCCCACAAATCAAAATGTTATTAAAATTAGATCCCAAACCTGACATAAACATTGCCACGATGATCAGTATATGCGAAAATCTATAATTCG